TAGAAGTATGGCCTTTATTCTGTGTTAGCCGAATTTTTAGAATTATTAGATTCTCTCTACACTAAGGGGATATTCTTGTGACGTTCATGTTTCATATGATTTTGTACCTCCTGGAACATTATATATAGTTAATTCGCCATCTCCCTCCTATACGTATACAGTGATTTAAGAACCCACCATTTCCTTGGCAACCGTATACGGTCGCTCTTTTCGTTGCTTCGGTTGCTTCGGTCGCTATGGCCAGTCGCTTACAAGTACTATATATTTTCAGTTTAGGCGCCCATAAGCAACTTTTTACATTCAGAGCATGCTCAACGTAAAAAGTAGTTGTACAGCATAGGATGCTCCTCCACTGTAATAACTCAATACAATCAAGCTTGGCTCTTTCGACGTAATAGCATCTATTACATCGGACGAGCCTTTCTTCAGTTGTAGAGTAATGCCCTCTACATGAAATTTTTCCATATTACTGAAAAAAATAGTCTCTGCCTTGACAAAAAGTTGTCAAGAGTAGGAAACCATCAAATGTGTTTGTTCCTGCTGTAGTGAAAGTGAAATCTTTAATTATTAGTGATTTATTATTAAATTAAAAATGGATTTAACAAGAATATATGTGTCAAACGAAGAAAATGTTAATACAGCAAGTAGCTCGGATAGTTTCGAAGAAAACAGTAATAACAGTCAAAATACATTTAACGTTAAAATGTTTAAACAAAATTTATGCAATAATTGTAAACTTTTTCACAATTATTGCATAAATTTCAATTATAACTGGGTGAGGGTTAAAAATCAGCTTACAGGCGCCAACCCTGAAAAATTGTTAACGCATTTTGGGTTATAACATGTTGTATTGTGTCTTGGGACTTTTTGAGAAGAGGCAGTGGAGTGTCCGAGGCCAAACACCGGCCAGGGATGATCTACCCCTTCCCCTTCAAAAAGTGCCGAAAAGTAATACAACCTGGCATAGCCCAAGATACGTTAACAATTTTTTAGTATTCGCACTCGTAAGCAGTTTTTGAACCCGCACCCGGTTAAGAGATTATGATTGAAAATTTTTTTGTAATACGAAAAATTTCCGTGCAGAGCCCTCTACATGGAACTTTTCTCTACTAGTCCTTCGACGTAATAAGTGTTATTACGTCGAGGGAGCCAGGCTCCTGGACTATAATGAGTCATTATAGTCCAGGAGCCCCTCCACTGTACCGAACTTTTTACGTTGAGCACGCTCTGCACGTAAAAAGTTGCTTACGGGCGCCTAAATTGAAATAGTTATTTTCAGTTTAGGCGTCCGTCAGTAGCTCTACGTGCTCAACGTAAAAAGTTGTTCAGTACAATGGAGGGACTCTTGGACTAGAACAACTCATTATAGTCCAAGAGCCTGGCTCCCTCACCGTAATAGCACATGTTACGTCGGAAGACTAGTACAGAAAACTCCCTGTAGAGAGCTCTGAATGGAGGTTTTTTGTATTACGAATGATTTTCAATCATAATCTCATAAGGGGGTGAAGGTTAAAAGACTGCTTACGGGCACCAAAACTGAAAAGTTGTTTACGTATTTTAGTCAAGAATGAAAGTAATCTAATCTAAGATTTATATAAATAGTTGGTTCCAAGCATTTTACTGTATAAATTTCTTAGAACATTGTATCATTATTTTCGTTTTATCATTACTTACAAAACTCCATGTATTTCAACATTATAATTGTCATAAATGTCATAATTCCTAAATTTTAAAAACAATTAATATTTAAGCCGATTCGATAGAAATTGTTATTTATAAATGTATCGACTGATCATTTGACTATTTATAGAGTAAATTTACTATTCCATAAGTTATGTAAAGTATCTGAAAGTAAGTTTTAGCATACATGCCGTATTAAGATAGATTTCACTACTTTTAAAAATTTTTAAACTTTTTTATATTACATTGAACTTTGACAATAAGGTAAATATATTGACTTGATGAATTTTTATCATAATGATCAAAAATATGTTCAGCTTTTCTTATCATTTTCTATGTGTTAATCAGTATTAGATATACTTTTGAAGTAAACTCTCCCAATTGTTCCCAAGTTTCAACAACAGATAAGCTTAGATTCATGAAGTTAGAAATTTTACAAAGATAGTAACTCTCTATTGTAGTTGTGTCGACGATCAATATTATTATTCTTAAAGAGAAAAAAATAAAAACATCCATCAGCAGTTTCATTCGCTTTGCAGCATCTTTAATTTTTTGATTTAATATATAATATACCGATTATGTATGTCATATATTCTGAATAAAGTTAGAAAATTTATCAGCCAATTCTTATATCAATCAATCAATCAATCTGTTTTCACACATTTGAACATTATAATCTGTGTTGAATTAAACTTTTCCACTAAGTTTGTTATAGCTAATCAACTATAGGATTATTGTGCCTAATACATTAATTTATATAATATTTATTCTACTTAGTTAAGCTAAAAACATTATTAAAAATAATACTTTATAATTATTCAATAATAAATTTATGTTGTAAATTATATTTTTCTATGATTTTGTAAGTGACCAGCCATAGCGACCGAACCGACCGAAGCGACGGAAAGAACGACATACGGCAACGACCGCTGTTTGTTTACCAGGGTTTTAACTCTTTTTTTTAATGTTTAAAAGCCATTTTAAATATAATAAACCGATGCATATATTTTTTATGATGACTATCTCCGTGTTTCGTATGTTCACTTCTATTTATCTAAATTAATTAAGTACATTAATATTGCATATTTATAAACGAAAATTGCATGAAATTGTATATTTTATTTGGTATGAAAAATATATAGAGCTGACATAATTTCCGCTATCTACACCTCTGAAGCCACTGAATACGTATAGGGAAGAATAGATGGTGAATTATATCAATATTCCAGGAGGTACAAAATTATACTGAACAAAGAATATCACCAGAAATATTCTCTTAATGTGGAAAAGCTCTTTGGGTTTTGGGACTTAAATGAATTGTAATCATTCATTTAGATCGCTCTTTCGAGTCTGAGCTTCACTATTCCCATCCATGTTAAACCCTTATTTATCAAGACACAATACTGAGTCCCGATTAGCCATTCTAAACAGAAGTTTACCCGGTAAACCGGTGGCAAAGACAAACGTGTTAATTAATATTCAATAGCTCGTATTTGTTATATTTGATCTTCAGACCAAAATTTATGACGGTTATGTAGACACTATAGACCTAATAAGGCCAATCAATCACTAGAGATTATAGATCGATTATTGCAAATACTCAATGACAAGAAAATACTTATCACATATTCGTAGCTCAAGCCGCGAACACCGGCTTTTAAAAGTATTGTCAGTGGCAGTGTCGGCCTCGGACGGCAACTTCCGAAAAGTTGTTCGAGATTCGAGATATCTCAAAATTATCGACCGGGGTAAGGTGGCCGCTTTTTTACTGCAAAATCTTGGATGACATTACCGATGTTTATTCTATATATTGAAATAAAATAATGTGTTATTCAATGATACTCTGTATTATAAAAGTTGCAGTTTTTAAATTTAATAGATTACTTTTTTCACTAGTACCGATGAAAAGCTGAGGAAAAATTACGAAAAATTTGAAGGTAATTGGTCTCGAACGACACTGAGAAATGACAAGAACGATAAAAACATCAACCTAATGATTTCGCCAGCAGTGAAGCTGTCAATGAAACGATGTTAATCAATAGTTATAGTAGGTATGTAAAGGTGAGCATACTAATCGCTATAATGATGTCAGTGGCTGCGCGCTAAACCGCTACGCGCCGATATTTTTCTCTATCGTAGTATCGATTTATTCAATCGTCTTTTTATGAGATTCGATCAATTCTAATAAGTAGTTTAGCATGAATTCAAAAAGACGAGAACGATAAATCAATGATCGCAAGTGGTGCTGTAGCCGCGTGCCTCGTGAATAGCCCGCGTTGCGTAATTATATCATTTAAATTGAGCAATGCGCTTGCACGTATACATTGGCAAAGAGTATTTCGCTCCAAAAAGGAAGCACCAATCGATGACAGAAACGTCTCTTCGAATGTGTATTTATATTGACTCAAGTGAAAATTTTAATGAGCCGTACGCGTGCTCTTGCGTCTCGATGATCATGGCTTCGAAAAATATGGCTGATTACCTTGTTCATCCCTCTGATTCTTTCTCTCTTTCAAAAATATGTCGTAATGTACATATCTCAGAAATATGCATAACCTTGGTCATAGATAAAACGATGAAATATGTAATTACTTCATCCAAATAGATTCTAATTGAATTTCTCTCGCAAGCTGAATTAAATTTTACGAGTGATGAATTTCAAGGAAAAGCTTTTCTTTGCCAATTTGCCAGGCGATATTAAATATTTTTTATCTTCCGTATGTTGAATAAAAAACCGAGGTGACCATAGAAAACAGCGGCGCGAGTTCTTTTTGCACTTTTTGCTTTTGTTACTTTTTTTGCAAAAAGGCATCGCAGCTACATATCAATGTATGCTTTCAAGCGTATTAATCCGCGATTAAATTATTAATCGTCTAATAAATTTGCCGGGACATCTGATTGACAGTGTACAAATTTTAATGTAGAGGAATTGTCGTTATCGCAGCAAGTGCACAAAAACACACGCGTTCGCTGAAATCCCTGAGCGCAAAACACACGTGAGACTCGTACGATGAATGCAGCCGAGTGCTAGCGCAGTGTGATTTTCATGACCCAAGCAGGTCAGTACGTCAATCTAATTGGATCGCTTAGCAATTCTAAGCCGATGCCAAAACTGTTGAGCCGAGTGATCGTTTTGTGCAGCTCGATGCACGTCTACCATTTTGCCGGCACAGGAAATTGCAAAAGTATTGCGGAAGAGCAGCGAACAGAGGCCAGGGTGTACGCGTCGGCATCGTAAGAGCTGGGCATGGCGCCACGCTAGCGGCATAGTGAGAAAACAACACTGTGCAACCGACAAGTGCGCAGTGTTATCGTTTCGCGTGCATCAGCTGCGTGGTCTCGCGTGAATAATCAAGCTCGATAAGTCGAATGTGCCCGCTCGTGGCTCTACTCTCACCTGCGCTTTCGGGCAAATCCAATGCTTTTCTTATCTCCTATGTAACATTTCTTTCGCCACTGTCGTTCGTGCGATTATAAAGCACATCTGCACCCTGCCAGACAGCGTCATCGCCAATGTTGTAAGATAGCTCGCATTCAATTGAGAACATCAAGAAGGATAAGCACGAGCCGGCTTGTTCAATTTTAATTAATCCACAGCTTAATCCTTCGTCATCTTAGGATTGCAAGATGAAAAGGGAGCACAAGCGAATCCGAAAGTGAGATGGAGACGAAAAAAAAGACGAAAAGCTGACAGTACGAAGTAAGGGCATAAGAAGAGAGAAAGATTGCGAATACACGGCTTACACGTATGCAAAGGCAAACACCTACACTCTGATCGAACGAAGCTGCGTATACGGGTCGCTTGGGTTTCCGATGCATCCGTTATCGGCCGATCTCGAGGGTCGCTCTCTTTTGACAGTGATCGGAGGGAGTGCGCCAGTAAAATAAAACAATGGCGCTTGTCAAACGGCCACCAATCATCTTTCTTTTTAATAATCTGCCGTGTTCCCTCGCTCTCTCTCTCTCTCTCTCTCTCTCTCTCTCTCGCTCGCTCGCTCGCTCGCTTCTCTCGTGCCGTCGCTCTCTCTTTTTTTCGTCGCTCGTGCGCGCCCGGAACACGCCAGTCGATCCCGCAACGAACAAACTAGTTTACTCGCGCCCGGGCTCATAGCCGGATGCTCGAGAGCTTTCATCTCTTGCCGTACGTACGCAAGTGCTGGAAATCAGTGAAATTCGCGCCTCTCGCCGCAGCCTTTTCTTTCCTTTCCGACAACAGTGCTCGCCACGAGGTCGTTGCATTGCAATAGTGAGCATGCTTTTTACTTATCAGCGAGCTACTGCTTAGTGTCAATACCTTCTTTAGTCGTTCGCAGCGGGCTCATCGTTATTGCGAGAGCCGAAACCAAGTAATACGCAGATCTGCTCAATAATTACTTTCTATAACGTACTTAGACGCTGTTATTGTGGTAAACGCTCTGCCTAACACTGAATTGTTTCACGTGTCGAGTATAATCATTTGCCTATTACATCAGATCCAATATCAGAAAAGCGTCTATAACATTCGTCTTTCGTTCACACACTGATTTTACTGCAATTATTTTTACTAGTTTGTTACCGTTAATGCAATTGATAGACTTGCTTCATGGACTTCAATTGGAATTTCGGTGCGAAAAATTAGTTTATCCGCGAATTGCCTTTCGAGTTAAACACTTTAATCAAAGCGACACGATTCATTCGGTATTTACTATCCAACTGAGTACATACGTTTAATCTCACATCATTTACATCTTCTTCTTATCAGTTCCAATCGAATCAATTTCACCATTCTTCTGACGAGGAAAACGAATCGTGCGACCAAATCGCAATCGATTCTATTCACAATCAATAACAATGCCGAGCGGAATATTTGGAATAGTTATTAATATTAATTTTATTCAATCACTACACTGTTAAGGTTGCCCTCCAATCGATCACCACATATACCGGAATATCGAGAAAACAAAGAAAAATTATTGCAAATTCTGCGATCGTTGACTAGACTAGACTGAAGGTAACGTACATTTCTTATTTATTTATTCAATGTTTATAGCCTTCATTCATAATGTCATGCATCATTTTTCATATTTGCACACCTGGACGTTGGTTAATCTTTTTTAAAGTGTATTTTGATCGGTTGTATCTTACAAAAAAAATATATAAATACAGAATAAGTCATTTTCCAGCTGTTACTTTTACAGTAAAACTAAAATCATATAGAAACCAATATAATAGCTTGCAAATGATTTTTAGCAATTTTTTCTAATGTTTCGTTTCGTGCTTCTCAGATTACTTTCATAAAGACTAATCGATATCCAGCTATGAAAATTTATGCACAGTATACTTTTCCAAGTACCATGTTACTTCTTGTCTACTAAATTAACAATAAAAAAAAGTCGAGGTAAATTTTCTGGGGTTTTTTCTAATATAAGTAAAATTGTAATTTTAAAGATATTGATCAGACCATAAATATATGTGTTATTGATATTCGAGATTGAGACATTGATATCTAGCACAAGAAAAACGCAACCGTTGATTGCGTGCATCACATTCATGCGAGATGAATTTTTTTGTTGATTTCTCCTTCAAATGTATCGCGCTCAACTAGTCGCTTGCAACAAAAAAGTTTCACAGGATGTGTTTCGGTTGAAAAAACATTGCATATTTCGCGAAAAGTGATGCATCATTCATCATGACTTATTTATATTATTACGGAGGCATATCAGCAGGTGCTATAAGTAGAGTGCAGGACAATAAATAAGTTCATGAATTTTCAGAAGACTAAAACTACGTCTTTAAGACATTTACTTGACTTTTCGAATAGCTCTCTTTCTTTTATAAATATATATACTGTACTTTACCAAAAATGCACTCAAATATGTCGTCAATAATTTCAATGCAGAAAGTTATCCGAGTAAAAATCGACGTCCATTGACCCTTAAATTGTTATAGTTCAATGGTCATTTGTCGCTCACAGCTCTCCTTTTCGAATCATCCGTATTAAGACTTACGTAACATATAAAATTAAAAAATCAATTCACACGTTATAACTGTACTATATATTATATTTACACATTCAAGCATTCGCTCATAAGCAGCGAAAGAAGAAGGAAGAAAAGATAAAGCAAGTGTGCAAAAGTTCTTTTGGAACAATGATTTACTGGTGCGAGAGAATAAGAGAGGGAAAGAGTGTGAAGTGTATACCGTGATACATTAAAATCGTCATGCCTAAAGAAACTTTTCATGGTGTCCTTGCTTACAAACACACCTATGACCTCGGCGCGCATATATCAGACTTATCCGTCTTTCACCTCTAACAGCAACTGGTGTATGCATCCGGTTATACCGTTGACCAGCCTTTTGGCGTACTATTTCCAAGTTTTTTCGTAAGTTATAGATAACAAGCTCATTGCCGGAATTTTTTTTTTCAGCAAATAATTATAAATTGATTTTTCCAAAGTGATTTTTATTGTGAACTTTAAGTGAGTTTCTCCGTTCTCGCAACGATTTATTTCTGGCTCGATCTTTTGTTATGTTGGAAAGAAAGCTTTGTTTTTGCTTTTATTCATTTTTTTATTTTTCAGTACAAATTGTCTGTTTTTATTATTTGGTGTTTTAAAATCTAAACTTCTTGTACGTAACCAACGAAGAATTTTTGTGTATAATTCTTTATATCATAGGAAGACGACTAATTTCTGTTTTTATAGCATCTGTCGTTGGATGTATTTTCATCTATATCTATCAATAAGTCTTTTCAACTACATGGATTTTTATCAATTTTAATTTATGTTTGGACATATTAGAAAGTAGATTAAAAATAGTCTTCAAGCAGATTCGTGAGCGGGCAAAAAATTTTATAACTATTTTCCAAAAATTATTATTGTAAAATAGGTGGTCCGTATGGAACTCCTATGTGCAAACTACTGTATGCAACTTGATTAAGAATTCATTTTCTGACATGTCATGACTTTTTTTCAATCTCATAAACCTAACTTTTAAAATTCTCATTGTATGGAGAATTCGATGATATGTAACCGGAAATATCACACTTCAAAATAATCCTCCTCTTTTAAGTGTGAAAATATGGTATTATTAGGAAAAAGATATTACTTTTGTATTTTTTGTAATTTTTTGTAGTTATTACTATTAGATGCTTCTATTTTTTTGTTTTCTTGTTGCAATAAAAACATTTTCAAATAAAGTTCATTCTTTGTGTTGTTTTGCTAATAAATGCTAATAAATTGAAGATGAAAGTGAGCTTATACTATTTTAATGCAGTAAAAATTCTAGTAGTAGAGCAGCATTAGCAGTTATTCATAGACCCGCTATAATCTCAGGTTAAAATTGTGCACTCCATAACGATACTTTTATAGATATTTTTGAATCGCGTGGAAAATACTTCGGTTATTAATCAAATTTATGAAATATCTATGCTATAAAATTTAGTTACGAACACGAGTTATCAAATATGAAGAAAATCAGAAATTGACATAGATTAATATATTCCCTTAAAAAAATTCGGTCACAATGTTGTGAAGCATTGAATGACATCACGCAATAGACAGCAGAGTGGCTATGGTTCTTATTTAGCAACAGTTCTCTGTTTAAATAAATGGTTAAAAGGTTAAGCTGTTAATGAGTTCGTCAAAAATTTATTTTGATTCAACAGAAATATTGCTATAGTAAAAATAAAATATATACGAATAATTAGTTAGACTATTTATCTGAAAATTATTAATTGTCTATAAGAAAATCAAAGGTCCACGGTAACAGTAACACTATCGCAAATAATTATCGTTCTTTTAGAAACCATACTGTGCTAATATATTTAGGTAAAATAAAATAAATTTCTTTTCATTTGGTCTGAAATTTGTAATTTTTTATCTGATTTTTATTTTTAACGCTATATACTGCTATATACTTGTACGGTTTTTTGTTGGATGCATGCGGATAAACAAACGCTGCCTCCTATCTATAAAGTGTTCCACCAGAGCAATTGTAGCATTTTGTTTGTTCGAATTTTGTCTTCCCTCTCTGATTCAATATTGGCGCGAAGAGTGGCTGCGGCAGTGATCCAGCCATGTTCGACCGTTTGCGTACACGTTTTATACTGCGTTGCTAAATTACCAGAATGAATTGTGTCTATGTATATACGTAGTATACCTATACGTATATATTTTTCTTGTCACCGCATTCTCGAGGTATCGTCTTGCGGAAGGAGCCACTACCTTTCTTCCTAGCATAGACCTAGCACATTTTACTTTTATTTTTTACAATTTCAATCGCATCCGAGAGCAATGATTTGTGAAGCTCTCACTATAAGTTCGTTTCTCATCGGCGTGTTATACTGTCCTCTCGCTTTTCGTCGTGTCTTGTATCATTTCTCTCTTTACTTTGCCTATCAGTGCTGTTGATGCGCCGTCTGCGTCCATTCAAACATTGCGTAATACTCACAGATTCCTCATTAAATGCAATTTTGAGATATGCAAACATCAGTTCGTTTTCAGCATTTCTTATAGTACACTTTACAATTCTTTCAAAAGAAACTTGCGAAACAAATGCATTTTATTCAACACCATAACGATATTGTTGGATAATACAATGTCATCAGAAGTGTCGATTCATTACTCTCACCCGAAACATTCAGTATTAGTAATGCGACTTTTATTTTTAAGTTGGTGTTCTTTTCTCCATCAATGAAATTATAAGGTGTTCATTTTTCATAAGGAAGGCTATTCTTATCATTTGATATCACTTAACTCTAAAAAAATGCTCATAAACAAAGTGTTGCAGCAGATTCAGATAAAAATAATGTAGACTGCAGAAAATAAAGGCTTAGCTGATCATTTATTAGTGCAATTTAATTGAAATTATTGTAGAAAAAAATTATACAAGGCAGTGGATGTATTTGCTATAAAGAATCGCAATAAAAACGTATAAAGCTTTTCCATCAAAGAATGAATAATCAGTTCACATGGCTCCATTGAATTTGATTGTATTTATTATTTCAGAATGCGTTCAACTACAGCAACCAAGAAAAGCCATCCACGCTTGCTTCCATACAATATGCACGTTCAAAAATACGGCGATACGAAAGGACAACTTGAAAATTTTCATTAAACGGCTAGATATGCATACTGCGATAGTCTATAGTAAATGTATGTGACATAAGGAAAGTAACGATATGGACTTGGAGAATGTGAAAACGCTGACGAGTGTTCCAACCGAAGATTGGCGCGATGAGAGCCTTGCTGTCTGGGAAGTTGGTGTCCTCGGAATCATCCTTGTAGTTACTCTTATGGGCAATGCCCTCGTCTTATTTGCTATCTATCTACGACGCTGCCGTGGAAGAAGACAACGGCTAACTCGTATGCATTTTTTCGTAATGCATCTCAGTACCGCAGATCTCGTCACTGGACTGCTTAATGTTCTGCCACAGCTCGCATGGGATATTACTTTTAGGTAAGTTACTTACTGACAGTTTTTTAAAGTTGATTAATATAGCTAAGAAATATTTGTTTCACTAATGAATGTTAAATATTCCGAAAGAAAATGAAAATTAATTTATTTATTTCAATTTTCAAAAAATAAAGATTTTATACGCTATTTTTGATATTTAACAGGAATTCTATATTTTACATTTGGCTGATTGGAAATCTGATATATAATATCGAATATTATACTTTGTGTGTAAACTACATCAATTATATGATCTACAAAATCATATATAATTTATATATGAATATTAGATCTTTGTTTATTCAGCATAAGGCAAGTGAATATAAAAAGGCTTACAAGTACAACGAAGAACTTTTTATCGGCGATCCTATATATTTTTAAACCATCATACTTGTGTTGGTTTGACGTCAAAACTTATTTCAAGCTATCAATCATTGCATTTAGTATACAGTATGAACTTCATAAATATTTTAGTAAAATTTGTATGCACCAATAAAAATGCGATTGTTTTCCTTGCGAAGTAAGATGTAGAATATATGCGGTTTGCATAAATACCTCATGAACTTGATTACTATTATATGAATATTTTATTTTAATTTCTACTTGAACTTATAAATGTTTTTATAGTTTTATTGATTTTTAGATAACAATTTAAAAAATGATTAAGAAATATTAAAGAATCCAGTTTGTTATTTAAAAATGTATTGTTATTTCCATTTTTCAAAGGTTCAAAGGTGGATCAATACTCTGTAAGCTCATTAAATACGGCCAACCATTGGGTCCCTACCTGAGCTCTTACATTTTAATTGCTACAGCTATTGATAGATATCACGCAATTTGTTACCCATTAAGCTACTGCAGGACGACTTCACGAAGGTCGAGGCTCACTGTATATTGTGCTTGGACATTAGCTCTCCTCTTTTGTCTTCCTCAAGTAAGTCAAAATTTGAATATTTACTGTACTAAAATAACTATACTTAATAAGTGTACCACTATTTCACGTAGACAAGTAGGTTTTAAATATGTCTAAACTTTACAATGTTCACAAGAAATGTGCCATGTTACGTGTAATTTTCCAGCTAATTTGCATAAAAAAATAAGATGCATAAACACACATGTCGCATAACATCAATTTCGTAGACTAATCATCGGCCAGACTTGTCAACATATGCAATGAATACAATTTATATAACTAAGCAATGACAAGTAGTTTACAAATCTAGAAGTTGAAAACATTGGTTATAAATAACTTGTTTCTTTACGACCTACAGTTTTTATCAAACAATGTAAAACTGATGTTGGGTCATATCCCTATTTTCTATAAAAAAAAAGTTTCGCTCATATCGTCTTTTGTTTATGGCTCGGAAAAAAAAGATGTAGCAGAACCTGACATTGGCAGTGTGAGACTATTCCAAGATTTTTATTCAAAATTTCAATATCAGTATAATTGAGATTGTTTAAAAATAAATGAAAACTTGCAGAAGAAGCACTTGATAATGCACGAGAATCGAAGTGTTCGCTGTTTTATAGTCTTTTTCATGAAAATGAATGAAGCATAACTTTGAAGTGATCAAATAATTACCGCAACTGTTTTTCTACAACATGAAAATCTCATAGATTATTAATAAGTAAATCATAGAAGTGAAGTACTTTGTTAATGGAACTATTAATAACCGTTCCTAGAAAAACATATAATCAGTGATGAATGCAATGTTTAATTTGATAATTTCCGAATCCATAGTAAATCCAAGCGTTTGATGAGATTTTTCACGCTTTTCAAGATATTGATTGACTGTACACGAGAAATTGATAACTGTCAATGGAAGCAATTCAATTGTAAAGCTACAATTGTGAGATCGTGCGTTGCGATAACGAATTACGCCATGTAGATCGTACATTTCATTAATTTCCTGATCAAGATAGCAGGCGCTAGCGTGCAAAAATAAATGTAATAGATTTTATCTCTCGCAGGTGTTCATCTTCTCGTTTAAAGAAATCTCCACGGGTGTATGGGACTGCTGGGCAACATTTATCGAACCCTACGGATTGAAGGCATACGTCACTTGGTACGTCCACTTGTTCCTCGCGCGTTCACCTGCGAACAGCGAACATTGATTATTATGTAGTTTTTCTAACTTTATTTTGGATTAACTTGAAATTACAGGTACAGCATAACCGTGTTTCTGTTACCGTTCTGTGTGCTCACCTTCACGTACACAGAAATCTGCTTGAGTATCTGGCGCAACCGCGAGGTTTCCCTATTGGCAGGTATGGAGAGGCACCAGGCATTGTCGAATCAAGCACACAATCAAAACTCATTCATCTCCAAAGCCAAAATCAACACGGTTAAGCAGACTTTAGCAGTGGTTATACTTTACACGGCATCGAGTGTACCTTTCGTCGGCTGTCAATTGTGGGCAAGCTGGGATCCAGCAGCTGAAAATTCCTCTTTTCTCAATGGTAAATACTTCTCTATCTACACTTCTGAACAATGAAGCCGTTGCAAAATTTTGCGTTTACAGCAGTTACTTACTTTGACACTCTTCCGCTCATTTTATTTTTGTCTTTATGCCCTCTTTGTTTCTTCACGATGCTTCGGTTTGTTAAATTCGTGTTCGATATACTCGACGCTAAACTTTAACATAATGCTTCGTTTTTTTTTATTTTTAGTTCATTTTTAGTTATGTTTTATTTTTTCTGTTTCTTCCCCTCCTCTCTTTCCCTCCCTCCTTTCCTCTCTCGCTCTCTTTTGTTCTTTTTCTAATCATTTCGATCAGGCCCGATTTTCACGATCCTATCGTTACTCAGCAGTCTGACAAGTTGCGTGAACCCTTGGATCTACCTAACATTCAGCTACGAGCTGCGCGTCACGCTCACCAAATTCCTACGTAGCTTGATAAAAAGGGATCGTTCGTCGAGCTTTGGTAAATACTAGCGACAATTTCATCATGTTGTAGCTTAATATTCATACTATGTGCGATATTTTTCTGGCATTTTTCTTGCAGAGCGAGTCTCGAGTAACCTCAACTCGAACGAGACGAAATCCTCCAAGCGCTCATCTCTGATTCCGCGAATGTCTCGCTACACGAGCTTTATCATTTATCGTTCTAATACTAATGAGAGAAATGATAAATGATAAATATTTAGTCAATGAGGGGGGAGAGTCTTAAGTCACTTTTAAGTACAATTTTTTTATATCGTGATATTTAATTTATGTTTGATATTTCTTAAGTTATGTATTGTTGGAATAAATATTATTTTTCTAAATAAAAAAATCAAAAAACCGATATTTACGCATATTGAATCATATACCACAAGCATATTTACTACAGTTGTACTCAAAAATATCGTAGTCAGGGTAGGAATATATATGTATATATATATAGCCACAGCATACGACATACTTGCACGCGGTTGATCGTCGTGTATTATATGCAACGTCGATTTCATCAAAGTCCTGGTCGTTATCATATACCTCCTACCTTCCTCTCCCCACCCCCCTCTCTCTCTTCCCATTCGATTCTTAATTCCAGCAGTAAAGCTCATCGAAAAGCTTCGATGGAAAAAGGCACGTTCGCGCGGGCTTTCATGCACCGGCAGGTAGCAGCGATATAGATAAAACTGTGTATTGTTGGTGCGTTACCATGGTAACGCGTACACAAGCAGCTCGGTGGCAGCTATCGATATCACGGGAGTTGCCACAACACAGTATTTGATAGCGTTACAAATGACGGAGCACAAAGGCACGGCGTTTGCTCACTCGTGCATTAAGATGCCGGTCGACCCATACAGTCGACAGCCAACGCCAATGTACGAGAGGCCAAGGCCCAGCTCTAGCAGTAGGATGTCAACATCGGACAAACCACTGACCAAGGCATTCTGCAAATCTCAAGGTTTCGACGACAGATCGGCCAAAGCGCACGTCAGGTAAGCTGCATGAGAGCTTGAATCATTTAGCCTTAGCCCCCGAGAGTGCAGTGTCTTTATATGCTATACATAAGTCACGTGCTTCAATCCTACCACTCGGCATCTCGTACTTATCAATTGAAAAATAACTTGGAATTATGATTTATCGCGTCTATATCTATATATTTTAGTGGTTTTTTCTATAATTTTTACTATTAAGGGCGTTTCTAACAAAAAATAAATAAATATAACTATTTTAATAAATGTAGGATTGACACCAAACACGTTGACGAATGGGATAATTCTCGGGACGAATGCACCAGTGTACTGGAATTCATAGAAAGCATACCAGTCTACGAAGAGGTGCATCGCTTGTCAAACGAGCAATTTAAACAGCGACTCGATTACTTGAAACGTAAACAGCGATTGCTGCTGAAAAATTTGCGTAATTGCTTGGAGGAGGACGAGAACATTGAACCTAGTACCTCGAGCGACACCAAATGTAAAAGCGAATTGAAAACTAATTCAAGTACTGCTTGTAGCGCAAGTCTTAGCGACGAATTCACTTTGAAAGGCAAGCAATACAATCTCGAAGAGTCAAGCTGTTACAGTCCTCTACTCTACCCCGAGGGTAGTTTCTCTTGTTTGGCGGAAGATCAAGACTTTCTCACTTACAGGTCAGAGACATTAAAATGGTGTTTAAAGTTTTTTTATTCATACAAAAATCTCGATACAGTTAGAAATACTTTCAAATTGAGAATAAGAAGATTATTCAACTAGAAAATAAGCTTCATACTAACTAAATAGAGACTGTAATGTCTCCTGTTTCTGTCGAATTACTCGGCATCCACAAAAAACAATTTTCAACTCCTTTATGCAAATCGATGCTTAATGTGCCACGGTGTACTTGAACGATACCGACAGCGAAAAGACGAATACCCGAAAACTGCAACGAGTAATCGATTTCTTAGGCATTGTAGAAGGTGTATAGAAAGTCGAATGAAAATAATCCCCTTCGCCGCTTGTTTTTGCGAGCGGAAAAAATATTTTTTGTGTAAAAGTATAAAATTCGAGAACTTTGTGAAACAAATAATAATTTACCGTGCATGAAATACGTTAAATGCCTTGAAGATTTCAAAAATGTGGTTGATTCTTCTTTTTCCACCAACTTAAAAGCTAATTAGAGTAACAGTATAGTATTTACGAATCAATTATACAGATTTAGGTATAAATGTTACTCCAAAAATTCACACGGTTTTTTTTCATATCGAGGAATTTTGCACGAAAAAATATAAGGTTAGGCTTCTTTTCAGAACAAGCTGTAGAGTTGGCTCATGCTGATTTTAACAAATTTAGAAATAGTATGAACTCAAGGAATCAAATGAAAGATATTCTCTAAATAAACTATTAATTGAAAGCAGTTTGTGAACATAACAGCCGACATCTTTAGAGCTATACTGTAAATTATGGTTGTAGAAGATTGTATTATTTTATTAAATTACGGTAATATTTGTTTCGTGCTTAGTAATTATCGATGTTAACAACAAAAATCAAGAAATTATTAAGTTTATAAACAAACCGATCTCTTTGAAATAATTTAATTTTATAACTTATAAAGTCATGCGATATTATCTTGATGTTTAGTATTTTTTGTATAAATATATAGTTATGTGACTTGATAGTGTTGTTTATTTTAGTTCATATGCTAATATATCGAAATGTATTGATTGTGAAATTACAATTTTAAATAAATCTTTTTACTTATACACAAAAAATATTTTCGGGTATTTGTCTTTTCGCTTTCGGTATCTTTCAAGACTACCGTGGTGCTGTTGTTCGACTAGCTTCGTCACATATCGACAATAGATTAATTATATATACGCCACGGATAGCTTGAGAAAAAAACTAATATGTCATACATAACTTTTAGATGCAAAGACCGTGACAAGGCGGCAAAAACACGTACAAACGAGGAAATCCTGTCGTCAAGTAAGTGCTGGAGTTCGAGCAGTGAGTCGAAAACTCCGGAGACCGATGAACTTGAGGATAACAAATTTGAGACGAAGAGTTTGCCTCCCCACAGTCCAAAACGCTGGCACCCCACGCTTCCCAAACCCTTCAGTTTGGCACTCAGGTACACCCACGCCCATCATCGTGTTATTTCGTATTAAAGCGAATGAACCGAAAAAGGAAAGGAAGAAGGGTTCGCTACCAAGCATTGTCGATTGACTTTTTACATTGTCTAATTCTGCAGTGTTAGTCGCTTGTTTTTGGCTTTTATTTGGTCTTGTGGCGCTTATCGTCCTCATCGAATACAACAGGTCGAAACTAATCTAAAAGAACGTTTGTTTAGTTTGCACCCGTACCACAGTTATCGAGCCAAAATGCGAACAAAAATCCCGCTGCGTGAGTGGAATCAATCGAACGTTTTTTTTTTCTACTTTGTTGGTCAGATCTTTTGCTCCAAGAGAGCGGTCAGATGAGCAAAAAGAGAGAACCGTGGATCCTTGTCGATCTATTTGTCATTCCTTGATAATAATTATTAATCAGGGCCTTTTTCTTTGTTACTTTCTCGCGTATTGTGTGCGTTTTGCGTATCAAGTACGCGTGCACGAGCGACGATGAAGTTGAGATGAGGCGCAATGAAATGACATAAACTTGTTGGTCAGAAGGGATCACAGTAAGAAGTATATGTCGATGGCAGAGCAACAAGTAAGGGCGGAGGAAGAGAACGACCGCAAGAAGGTTTCAGCCAAAAAACGCCGTATAAGACCTGTCCCTTTGACGTCCAAAATTCTTCTCTACGATAAACTCATGGCTGAGAAAGAAGAAAGGTACGTTTATCGCAAACAATGCTTAAACAATGTTTACTGCTTTTTTCGATGATTCATTTCGATGTGATTTCATAATTTAATATCCTGGTTATCTAAAACATACGGATACGATATTTTTTGCGCTTTGCGCGCATTACACGTGCTTTGGTAGTGAAATCTTTGCTGGTAAAATTTCATTGAATCAATCTCAATTTCATGAAGTCTGATATTATCGAAGCAAATCACAGCTGATAGGACGTTAGGTAAGACGGTATCAATAATTGCCAATTTCCAAATCTAATGTGTCAATATACATTATACCTATCCAATTCAATTTCATTCTTTGATTGTACGAATATCGAAAAAAAAATCTGCTTTCCAATTGTGATTGTCTGCGATGTTGGCCGAGATATTTCCAATATAAATAACGAATTTCTGAAGACAGTCCGGTGGTTATGATTATATTATTATAAAAGGAAAAATCTTTGTATGAAAATAGAAGCCGAATAGTACGAGAAGAGAGTGTGCTGAACCTGATGTCGCAAATTCGTCCGTTCAAACTTGAGTGTGAAAAACGAGCACTCAGGGCACTAACGCGTTCCAGTCCGGAATTAAGCTCCGGCAGACGTTCGCGTTGCGGCACAAGGTTTCGAGCCAGACCCATGCCCAGATCTCTCTTCAGCACTGAAGTATACGATCGCATGATCGAGGATGAGTATTTTCGGTAAGAACGAAAATTATTTCAACACACTCTGCTGTTTTTCTTGTTTATACTTGTTCTCGTAAAGTGATACATTCAACAGAGGCCCCCCACGAACAATTTGCACGTTTTTGTCGAGATATTTTTGTTGCAAAGTGAGAGGGAGAGAGATTTATTCTCCAGCTCCGAAGGTCTTGAACCTCATGCACGTTTTCTTTAACACATGCGATTAGATTCCAATTTTATAGAGATGTATGAAAACCCCTTAACATTGTTTACATGGATGACATATCAGTTTCACAATAAAATTATTCGATCATCTTTTTTCTCCTTTCGAAATGTTCAGATAGTTGCCTGTTTTACTATAATGAAATTGTGCCAATAAAAATCAATGAAATTCTTTGAAATGTGGTTAATGTTAAATCAGTTTGAAAGCAAACGAAATCAGATTGAATCCTGATGAATCAGTTGTGAAACATCTTTGAGTTGCCTTTACTGAAAATTTTAATGAAATACTTTACAATTTTAATGACGTAAGTAGATTTGGTGTAAGTTGATGATGGATATAAGTTAAAGGATATGAAAGACTGTATACGTAGTTGTCTAAATTTATACAAATTGAAATTATAGGCTTGAAAGAGAAGGAATTGAGTTAGCAAAATTTACAGGAACTTACAAAAGCGCATTAGATCAATGGACTTGCTGAAATCGTCGTCGTTGCCCCCATCAATGGCCCAACGCGACCGCGTCAAATCAAAGATCAGCGCGCGTTCGCAGAAAAGCTCATCGGGAGAGCGAGCTCGAAGCGCTTGCAGTCGCGACTCCGTCGCTTTGAGTCGTGGCACACCCCTCACGTCCGAACACTCCAGATCCTCGGCAATGACCAGCACTTTACCTCTACATGGCAACAATCTCGCCGCAATTCTTAGAGCTCAAGCTGCCAGGTGAGCATATTTTGTATTTTGTTCGACTTGCATTATTCAAGCGACTACGAATTGGCAGGGAGAAGATGGAGCGCGACATTCAGAAGCGTTTAGAAGAGAAACGCTCTGAGCAAATGGTGCGATTGCGAAAGTCTTTGATTGGGCGGAAGCCAGCTTGGAGAGCACTGCGATCTGCCGCTAGGTTTGTCTTTATTGAACTCCTGATGCGATAATGCGAATACTGAAAAAGCATCACGAAAAAGCGATTGCTTCCGTTTCTCGAAGAGGCATAAACTAATACGCTCACATGTCTAGTCGGGTGCATAGCTGACCATCGGGTGTAGGCGGTTTGGTAAAAGAAAAAAAACAAACAAGCACAATTCAAGTCGTAGAAGTCAGAAAATAATCCAAGATCTTTGCTGAATAACTCAGCGCGTGTGCATGCAAATGCCTGGATCGCGTTGCACGCGCCACCGCGAAGCGCACAGCAACCATCCGCACCACGCTACACGACGCTGTCGATCTTCTAAGTGTATATGTGTATGCGTTTATGAATAAGGCATGAGCACGAGCGGGACCTGGACTTTCGAGCGTCGCTGAGGCGGGATGAGGCACGAGAGCAAGCTGAACGGCATCGGCTGCAGATGGAACTGATGCTCGATCGTGTCACGCAAATACCCACGCTATTCGAGCGATACTCCCAGGTAAACTTTTAGCCGACCCCCTCCTTCCCCCACACTCCAATGCCGTGCGCCGACGATTTATTTGACTGGGCGTCAAATACACTTGCGTACTCGTGCCGATCGACTGAGCTTTCTCTTTTGCCGGTTTTGCTTTTTTTCCATACACATATCTTTTTATCGTTGTTCGATGTGTCGATTTGACAATCAAGATTAGCACACAATACCAGTCAATATTTTGGGAGTAACATCAAATATAATTATAGCAATACAATGTTTTCGTAGATATTCCTTAATATTTTTTGTTCGCGTAATCTATCTCTCTTTCTCTCTCGTGTATCAATTATTCATTATTTCTATCTTTCCGTTGTGTAAAAACATCAGTCAAATAAAAAAAGGCAGAAAGCTCGTCAAATGCGATTCACCATTCACTAGATAGAAATATAGCCTGTAGCCGTAAAATCGTTGAATATTGACGAAAGCATTAAGTATTGAAATGTTGCTTTCAAAAGACTCACTGGTGCTCTTGGCATTGCAAAAATTGGTGCGCTCATCGGCATCGATACCCCTGCAATCTCCACCACCGTCAGCATCAGTGTCGTCGCCATTGTTGCTAAGCTAGCGTTTTTCTCGCATTTCTTCTTTCAAAAACCACCCTCGCCGTGCTCTATTAATGGCTGCACCGTTGAGGATGAGATGCTGCTGTCGCAGAGCTGCCACTCGCCGCCCCATCACAAGCCTAAAACCTGTCGCTCATCGAGGAAAAAAAAGAAAAGAGCATCTTCGGCTGGATGTAAGAGAGTGTCGTCGGGTAGCATCGACTCGTACACGAGCTTTGCCAGCAGCTCAAGGCCGAATTCAGGTTCAATCAGCAGCTCTACGGGTACGTTGATGTCGGCCGCTCGTTCATCTGCTTCCGGTTACTCAACTAACAAGACCACACCAAAGTGTTACACGAGTGCTACCGAAAAAAAGAAGGTGTCCATCAACGAGACAGCTGAGCTCATCGAAGACGTGAGATATGACGATTACGAGGACGAGGAGACATATTCCGTCGACTCGGCGTACAGTCGGGCACTTGAGGAACACGAGAAGCGCGATTTACAGAAGGACGACGGGCACGCAAATGATAAAGATGTGGCTAACGAGAAAAAATAATCGATATCAAACTTCAGTATTCAGTAACATACTAATTGCCGTACGCAGTGATATTAGTTTGCTACGCTTGTTATTCTCATGTTTTATTTTAACTGACATTTGAGTAGAATAATTACCAGCAAGTTATTCTTGTTTCTCGTTAATTAATGTAGTCACCGTTTGTTAAATTTCTTTGTTCTGTGTATTACCATGTGTTTCCGTTATTGTCGTTATTGCCGTTGCCGTTATTGACAGTGTTATTGACTACAAGCGTTATATAAGACTACTTAAAAGTGTTATAAGTGAAATACCATGCAATATTTATTTCTCATTACTTACAATTAAAGCAAATATTAGAGTATTACGGAACGAAAAGTAACTGAGTAATGACAATGACGTGATCCAGGACTGCAATGCTTGGAAAAATTTATATAAAAGACTAGAGAGTATTTACAAAGTGTACACGTAGCATTGTAAATAATCCATTCCATGTAGCAAAGGTTCATTATTAAATTAATACAGTATGACGTACAACAGAAGTTCGTTCATGTGCTACATCATCGTTTGGTGATATCTCTTTCCTTCTAGTGGATAAGATTCTTATATCCACATATATATTATATAACATATATAACATAATAGTAAAGTCTTATTCAATTCACAGCTACAGCTCGAGTACAACGCACTGCAACCACGCGTACGAATCGATCTCGCGCTCATCAAGCTCTTATGCTGTTGAGTATCCAGTCGAGGTAGTAGTCGACGCGAGTGTAGACGCCGGGTAAACCTTGGGTGCCGCAGTTTTTCACGCCGAAGCTGACGATGCCGTATTGTATGTATTTATTCTTGCCGTTGACGACGCCAGGAGCTTGAATGGGACCGCCGGAGTCGCCATTGCAGGAGTCTTTACCCTGTTGGCCGCCCATGCACATCTGCTTGTGCCAGATTTCAGTCTGGCGTTGATACACTGCCGCGCACTCGTCTTGCGAGAAACGTGGCAAGTTAACTTTTAACATGACCGGGCTCGAGACTTGCAGCTCGGTCACACCCCAACCTGTTACCGTCATCTACAACAAGTCGGAATCATTGCGCGATCAATATGTGTACATATCAATTATAGCCTCGAGGAGTATATGCCAGCGTACTTTCGGGGGAATGACGCCTGCAATGTTGAGTGGCATGCAAATGGCTTTTGCATTAGCAGGCCTGAAGTCAATGTCGTCGTTGACCCTTATCAGAGCTACGTCGTTGTGCAGCGCGGTCCTCGCGTATTGCGGATGAAAAATCACTTCCTCAATTCCAAAATCCTGGTGTTCTCCATTGCATACAGTCTGGCTGCCCATATTCTCGCAGTCTACATCGGTTCCCATGTCGTGCTCTCCAACTCGCACGCCAATCAATCGTAGATCTGTAATATTTTCGCAACTGACATGACGTAATCGAATCACATTTTTATCATGTGGAACAAGGCTTTATTAGCAAAAATGCGGGTAATAAATTGGTAGCAGGAGACGTTTTGTCCGAGACACAGGCTTACACCATTGCCGGAGATACATTGTCGGAGATCCAGATTGAACGGAACCGCTGACACCTATTTCATCTATAACGCTTGATTAGCAATCCGAGGATAACTCGGATAAATCGTATTCCTGACAAAGCAAATATTCAAGAAGTTACTCGGTCACCAAAATAACAAGACAAATTTTATGCCAACGTAGCGACGTCAATCGACTGGCCGGAAATCAATGAAATCACTTTGGCGCGACGAGACGGATGTTTGTTCTATGCAAAAACTTGTCTCCGCGTATTTTTCCATCGGCGACCACTACATATCTCATGATCGATAAACAACTGAGAGACACAGGCTGATCTTCTTGATTTGCAAAGATCGAATCGACGATCGAACTAGACGGTAATTACTCACTGGAGGGTAATTTGGTGACGCAGTGTGCCGCAGTAAGGATATAACGCTTGTTGATGACGGAGCCGCCACAACGGAATTCCGGTGTGGTTCTGCCGACGTCGTACGAGAGAAGGGCCATCCAAGGAAACTCATTGATCCCAGTCACCGTGCCACCAATAATTTTCGGTTTATTGATTATGCCGCAATGGGCTTCTAGCAGACGCAGGTTTGGGTGATTCCTTACATTTGGCGGTGGCTCTGGATTAGTTAATGGATTCTGAATTGGTGCTTCAGTTGGCGCTTCTACTATGTCCTACAGCATTTTATTATTTTCATTACGCACTCATTCTCATCTCATTAAAAAAAGGAATGCCTCTTTTCGGATCTATAGGTCTTTTGTAATCTTAATATCTCTACTTACGTTGTATTTACAACAAACTTTCGGATTGCTACCTTCGTATCCGCACTGTGACTTTCTCAGAAAATCGGTGATTTGCGGGGTGAGAGGCCTCGTTTGCAACATATCCAACATTGATGGACAACGTCTGATATTGATGCACGTTCCCAGCTGTTGATTTGGCATAGTGCATCGAATTTCGTCGGGAAACGACCATTCTAAAAAGAAAGTCACGTCACTTACATAATATATCCATCGATGCAATAACTCTACGAACGTAATCCTTTTCATTTTCCAGAAACGAAGACACGCGTTTATCATCGTTCAGTCACGTTTCCTCGATCGTAAACATAGAAGCGCAAGCATTTCTAATCGTCTGTAGTTTATTGATGAGTTTCAATCACATACCATTATCTATATACATATTTTAGCGGATCAAAACAAAAACAAATATTATGCAGGTCGTCGTAATAAACTTTAAAGGAACTATAAAAAAGTTTCCTTGTATTTAAAAGCATTCTCCACTCGAGGCATCTTATCAATACGGAATTTTTTCAAAAAAGAACTGCTTTCTCAAACTGATTTTGTTACAAGCGAGAAGAAAGCAAATGATAATTCGTTATCTGTAGACGCCTAAATAATGCAAACGTGCTGCCGATCCGACTCCGAATTGGATATGTAAAAACCCACCCAGATATTATAAATTTTTACATTTTGTTCCCAAGTCCGCTGAAATTCAGTGGGTCATTCACGGATATACGCGTACGATAATTGACTCACTGAACGGTCAAAACATACAAGAGAAAGTATATCAACTTACGCGCTGACACTATCGGGGATATGAGCAGCAATGACGAAAGACGCAGAATTGCCGTGCTCCTCATAGTCGGTGTGGTGGCGTACGAAAGACGCGTCACACTTTGGCTCTGCTCTTATATACCTATTGAGACTCGAGCGTAGTTCAGGTGGTTTTCAGAGTGCTTCGCGATAAACCAGTTTTGTTCCGCGGGAAAACGCGCGAGGATTCACGCAAGAGAGAGAGAGAGAGAGAGAGAGAAAGAGAGAGAAAGAGTTCCGCGCGTCTTTACGCACTTATCCACTCTGCGTGCGATCGCTACAGTCCACATATACACGACTCAGAGTGCCGCATATTTGATGACCAGAATGCTCTTTTATCCCCCTCTTCCGACAAGCACGCCACTACTCCTCACGATTTCCGTCCGCCTGCCATCTGGTCGTCAGCCTTGGTCGGGCTATGACGTTGCTCGGGAAAGCGATTCTCGTGAGTGCCGTCTTATGTTGCCGGACAAACGTCATTAACGGAATCATGAAATTTCTCGATCGCTAGACGGCATTTTACCAAGGTTCTCTCAGAAAAATGTCCCATCGATTGCCATGTACACTACGCAAAATATTCTTAAATTAAGAAGGTTAGTTCTTCAAATAAGAATGCAGCAAATTCAAGAACTCGAACTATTTTAATTAGGCAGCTGCAAAAATAATTTGAAAATAAATAGATCGTATCACTTAAGTTGATTCATGTTGGATAAATAAAGATTGATTCTTACACATAGTTATAATTAAGCATTAAAAAGAAACAAAGTACAAAAGTTTCTAAATTTCATACTTAAAATAAGAATTTCTTTGTAGTGTATATTGACAAAACGCAATTGACTCGAATGATACGTTTCAACCTTGATTTAACTGGTCGTGTTTGAATTTTTGAACAATTATTTAATCAACTGCGTTGATAAGCAATTCCAAAATAACTTGAATAAACATTTCACTAAAACTCAACAGTTTTTAAATTTTTAGAATATATTGTCGAACAATTGCTATAAAATGTTATTAAATAATTATAATTCATTTCACTAATGAAATTGCTTTTTATCGAGTAAACTATGAAATAAGAGTGAAATATGCCCTCATATTTAATATTGAATTCGTACATTGTTTTCGTCATTCGGCAATCAACAAGATTCATTAATCGTAATCTTTATTATCTTTTACAATGTTACAATTTTTAGTGAAAAAGACGTAACAGAATTTTTTATTATTTTTTGATATGTATTGTTGAATATAACTATAGCTAGAGAAGTTATTTGACTCTTTTTCGTTATGACCAATTAATTATTTTTAAAGTCAAAGATGTGCAAAATTTGTATTAGTAATTCATATTTACTAATAATTGTATACATTCACTGTCTACTTCTTAATGAATTGAGAAATAAAGTGGTTAATTTCATGGCAAGTATAGCGTGCTTCATGCACTAATTTTAGATTTGAATGGTAGGATTCAGTTATGTAATCAAATATAAAATGAATATGAAACAATTTTATAAATTAAAAAATTAAAAATATTTTTAGTATGTTGATTAGTTACTGAGTTTTAGCTACATATCTGTATTATTTAACATAACAAACGATCATATTTTAACTATTGATTGGTTTATTTATTCATTATTGTTAAAGAAGTCTTTACACAACGAAATATTAAATTAAAGAATAATATTAAATAAAGCACTTCATTTATTAATTCTAACTTGCATGATATAATTTGCATCTCACTAAAGCGTATTCAATCCATATAATCCAAAACATACATATAAACATTTGACTGGCCATTATGACACTTAGCCGTCTCTGATTTATGCAATGAAAATAAATCAAAAGAGAAGACTCACTTTTCCAACTTAGATACTTCGTCTAAATCCATGAGTGACCCCTCGGCATCACTGATGTACGATTCCTCGTCAAGACTAGCACCTCCGCATAATGGATTCTAGCTTATGTTTCAACCCCTTTCTATATATGACTTTACGCTCTTGCCTGATTGACTAAGCTTTTGTATGACATATGTGTTTCAAATCCATGTTATTTCTTATAGACCCCTTATTGAGATCTTTAACAAAACCCGATGTATAATATCTAAAACAATTCACTTTTATTAGTACTCGTACAGTATACTTATTAGCATTCTTACTTTTCTGGGAATGGATTTTTGGTCATCAAACAAGTCGTAAATCTATTTGATAGTATTACTGAATCTAAGGAATGCTGACAGCTTCAAAAGAATAATTTCGATTTTGGCAACAATATTAATTGTTCCTAAAATAAGATGCCATAAAATAAGTAGGTTCACCAACCATAAACCCCACAGAAGTTATTACTTGTTCGACGGCAACGTTAACAGGTAATTCTTTGCAAACCATAAGATCGTGGACATAAGGTAAACAATAAATGTCTGTATCGGTATTGTATTCACTAAGTCATTAACATTTTTCGAGTCACGAAAAATTGCCACGAAAATACTTAAATGTCAAAATTTGACCATGTATCCCTATTCTTAGGGTTATACTATCTTTCATGATAATCTCTAGAACTGCGGTACTTATTGAATTTTCAGTTCCGTATGACTGACTTGTTATCGATTCTATAAAGGGACTTGTTATCGATATAATATGTATTGAAGTACTGATCGAACTGGCAAGTGGTTAAATTGTTGGTATTAGGGGCTTGGTTTGAGCACCGGAGGAAATATGAGTCGTTTGTAGTAAATTTCTTACATTCGAAAAGAACGTGAGAAACCGCAATATCATGGTTACCATTGGTAAATTTCGAATTGTAACACTAGTAGTTTGAGCGACATATTTGCATTATTTAGCACTAAATTAACATTTTGATTCGCAATATTTGAATTATTTGGACAGCAAACTAATGCATTCATCATGATGTATCGGCAATCAACTTCATGAAGTATTAGACAAACCTATTAGTAGTCAATCCAAATAATTTATAATTATTATAATAAAATTAGCGAGTAATATTTATTGACACTTTCATTTGTATTAGTATTACTATTAAACGTAATATAGTTTAATGAATGCAATATCAAAAATTCTGTGTTATCAATAAAATTACAATAGTAATTTACTTAATATATAAGCTCAGTCGAGAGCTTTGTACTATACTTAATATTTCGTTCAGGCTTGATAAAATATTAAACAAAAAGAAATACAGAGTCGTTGCGCTAGTACTCACCTATAATGTATCCATTTTTATTGAAAAAAATTGTTACCAGCTTCGATATTAGCAAAAATGGATAGCACAGGTAAAATAATTGAAATTATGAACTTCATTTTGTCACGCTGACATCAATTTGACGTTCCACGTTAAAATTACTAACCTTTCTTATTCTGTCAGAATGTGCATTATTTGGAAGCACTTGGATAAACTTTATTTGTTTAACTGCCGCTTATCAGAAATGCCATCATTTTTATTCATCGTTTTGAATTTAGTAAAATAAACTTTTACTCGCAAGCGTTATGCATTTGATATTTTCTGTAGTTAATTCAGAAATTGTAACTAATTTTTAATTTCTATTGATAGTTGGAGAAAACTGACAAAAAAAACCGATACATAATCATAATATGTGACGCAATTACAAAATGAAAAGTGTATATCATTGATCAAAGCTTATTGCATATTTAATCTTTTCGAGGTATCAATTTTTTTATCAATTTTCACTCAAAATTACCGTCAAATGATCAAAGAAACTAAAATGGCGAAGTAACAGTATAGGATAATTTGAAGTGACTAACCAACTATTGATCACCATTAGTACGAAAAGTATGCATGAGGTTACCATCTGGTTTCCAGATGTTAACTTTATTTGTAAGCCTAACTATATTAATCTTTTCAAACTGCATAAGTTGTTTATAGATAACGAAGATTTTATGAAAAGAATACAAAATTCATACAATTTTATGACGTATCTTGTTTAATGCGAGAATTTGTAAAAAATGAACAAAATAGAAAAGGTAATATTATTATTGTTATTGTGACTTCAAGAACTACGTCCACGTGGAATGCTGCAGAAGTATACTAGGTACCTGTACGCATTAGCCCTGGTTCCCTTTAGTCATGAGTATTTTGACCAACCTTCCCCACCATTTTTCGAAAAAGGTGTAGAAAGAGAAACATACATAATCATTGGATATACAGTTTAAGGTGGATTCCGAACCATCGTATGATAAATTAAATTATGGTGAAATATTAGGTTTTTAGGTTTTTCACATTTAATTTTAGAAAGGTATATAAGAAAAATTATGATATTAATTGTTGCTGAAATAATAGTATGAAAAATAAATTAAGTAAGTATGTAATATGAAATAGTTCTAGGTTTATTTAGACCGTGAATTGTAAAGTTCATCGTTTAAGATTAATACATTGAAATAATTAGGACTTGAAGTAAATCTATATATTGAGAGAAATGTTATTGTAAAATTTACTACAAATGCAGTAAAATTTACTTTAAAACATAGTAAAACTAGGTCATACGCTGACTATAGCAAAAATTGCTGTTACATAGCAAATATTATTAAAAAAAGATATATATTCTATATCTTTTTATGACTTAGTAAAGTTTATAACGGTATATAACATATTTTGCACAAACATTAAATAAATTTTGATAACGACACGTAGTTAAATTTATCAATAAGATGTAATAAAATACAATATATGTAATAAATTTTATTGGTTCAAATGGGGTTGAAAAAAATTTTTTGGAATGAAATTCCTCATTTAATTGTAAATATTAATGCCATTTATTGAAATCATTCGAATTCTTCTGATAATGAGGTCTTCAGATCATTTTTTCCTTGTTAATATTTATGTATTCCCTTGAAGAGAATATATTTTAATAACATATTTAAGTTCGTAATTTGATCTAACCTACGTAACATATTGCGCTTTTAACCTACGTGATCGCTCGCTCATTTATTTGACAAACCTTTGTTTAGAATTTTTATGTATACTAATGGAAGATATGTCTTGCCGCTCGCGAAAATTAGCATGTAATCTGTAATTGTATTGATTCGACGCATTACAACAGGTATTTTAATATTATTAATAAAAATTTAATTTAATTTTGATTTATAATTTTAGTTTCAATTATAATGAACGTATACAAAATATAATTTTATGTGTTTGGAAAAAATTTCTTTTTAAATACATCCATCTTTTTGAAACACAATAATAACTATCCGACAATAATATTTATTTGTTATAATAATATGTAAATTGTCTTCTCTTACCTTATCTCATTTATA